TAGTGCAGGAAGCAGAACTGTAAAGGGTCAGAGCAGCAGAGGCCTCAAAGTAGGGGCTTCAAGTGCAGGTCAGCCGACACCTCCTGGAGCCCCTGCTTTCTCACCCGCCTGCAGGAGGTGGGGACCCAGCCCTGACCACCTCAAGGGGACACTAGGCACCTGAGAGAGTCCCTCATCCCTGGGTCATACACAGGCCTGGCCTGCTAGGAGCCCAAGGTCCACCCAGGAGCAGACACCTAAACGCAGACTCAACATCCCCTGGGAGGAGGTCCCTACACACCTGTCCCTACTGTGGGGCCCCCTACTCACCCCTGCACACACAGACCACCCCCCCGCTGCCCACCAGAGCCCTCCTGGGTTGTTAGGTCCTACTCTGACACCCAGGTGGCCCTGATCCTCGAGGAGCTCATCTCTAAGTTGGGTCCACACCCCAGCTGGAGCAGGCAGACATGTGCACAAGCCCCAAGCTTGGTGCCAGGCCGGCAGAGGATGCTGCACACTGATTTCTTTACCTTCCAGCCAGGGAAAGAAAGGCAGGGGCGTGAGGCAGTTAGGAGCACAAGCCTTTCCGCAAAAGGGTGGAAGAGTTTTAGCGCCCCGAGACACGCCCCAGAAGCGCCCGCTCGTCCCGCCTGGACCACTCCCCACTGCTCCGCCCGGACACACTGAAGCAGGGCGCATGCAAGTGTTTGAAGAAGCCCCTCCAAACAGACGGACCGGCCCCTCCTGGCACCGACAGGTACGGCAAAGCCAAAGCAGCGGCCCGCGACGGAATGCAGGAGGCGAGAGGGCAACCTCCAAAGAAGGAAAATGCCATCACTCATCAATCACACAAATATTTACCCTGGGCCCACATCACCGAGCGCTCGCAGACGGCTCCGCCTGTGTCTTCCGCATCCCATTGACTGCTGGAAATACAATCGGCGTAAGGTCAATGCTCTTTATTCACTCAGGGCTAATAAAGGCATCACGGGTGCTTTCGACAACCCCCAACACACGGCCACGCCCGGCGAAAGCCAGCACCGCGCTGCGCCGCGAACTCGCCCCCACCCCCGGCCCTCACAACAGCCCTGTGAGGTAGGCTTTCTGGTGACCCGCGGCTTAGAGAACAGGAGACCGAGGGTCAGAGAGGCCAAGTGACTTGCCCAACACTGTGCAGCCAGTTAAGTGGCCCCTGGGTCTGCCAGATTCCAAAGCCTGGGCTCCTTCTGACACAAAACACACACTCTCGTGGCGCAGCTAAAAGTTCAACCGTGTTAAACCAGAAATAGGAATCCTGGTTTTCAGACAACACATGGCGTACAAAAGTCCATAAGGTACAGTATGACAATTGTTAACAGGTTAATTAAGAGCAAAATACAATCTCTTAGTGAAGGTCATAAACATCTGCCGCTTGCAGCTGGTTACCGCCTGCCCAGCACTGTGTTAGGCACCCAGACTGGCCTTTGGGCCCAGATGTTGTCAGTGGGGGGTGGGGGAATGGGAAGGGAACAATGCAGCGTCTTTGAAGGTGGTGCCCAATATTTTGGGGGGGAAGGGCACCACCAGGAGGGGCCTTTCGAAGAGGGACGTACGTGGGTGCCGCCCACAGCCAGGCTCAGAGGTAGGCACTGCTCGCAGCGTCTCCAGCCTTCCCCAGAGTGGGCCTGCACGCGTGCCCCCGGGGGTCCAGGGGCCTTGCACGAAGAGTCCCCCAAACCCTGGCATGGAAGTTCCTGCCCAATTACTCCTATTTACCCTTTAACTGCCTCACGGATTTAGCATCCCATCCCTCCATGTTTAGAAGAAAACGAAGTTCCCACTAAGCGGCCTGCGCGAGGGCTCTCCTGGCGCACCCCCGGGGACGCGCGTGCCGCCCTTGCAAATCACGGTAACATGGGTCCTCACAACAGCCCTGCGAGGTGGGCGCCACGCCCGCCTCCCCCCCAGAAGACAGACTCGCGCTCTCACAGTGGGTTTAAACCACACACACGTTTGTCCAGCTCCAGGGTCCTGGCTTTGCCTGTGGCACTTCCTCTCCAGCGCAAGGAATAAAACTCAGAATTCTAGGTGGAGCCCCCAAGACCTACGCCTCTTCCCACCCAGGCAGCAAGGAGCTCCAGGAAGTTGAAAGGAAGTTCTCTCCCGGCCAGGCCCGCAGGACTGCTGGGGGCTGGGCCCAGAGTTTGCAAAGCGCAGTGCGCCTCCCACGGCCTGGTCTGCCGGTGGATTGTTCTGTGTGGACCCCTGCGTGGGACGTGATTCTTACCACCCGCATGAGCAATCATCCCCCCAATTTTCTCCAAATAGAGCCGGGCATTAACTAATCTTGGAGGGGACAGGAATGGCTCCAAAGCCGCCTCCAGGAGAGGTCGGGGCGCCCTAATGATGAAAGCCTGCTCTCGCCGGAATCAGGAGCCGCTCCTCGCAGACCCCCAGCCCTCGCCGCGGCCTTCTGAGGATGCGGGCTCTGATTTGCGAGCGCCCAGGGAACACAGTTTGCTGATTACTAATCAACCCGGTTCCACGGGGGGCAAGGCGGGAGGGGAAATCGCACTTGCAGCAGAACTCCCATCTGGAAGTTGGGGCCGGGTCAAGGACCTCGCCTTGCTGCCCACACAAAAACACGGCGCCCTGACCCACGTGCTCGCCTTTCCCCTCCAAAGGCAACGCTGACATGAGTCCTCGTGAGCCAGCTCTAGTATAGCACTAGCTAAATTTTTTTTTAAATGTGTGTTGGCTGGGAAGGAATGGACGGATGGAGGAATGGATGGATGAGTGGCGACCACTGCCGTCCAGGGGAGGAAGCTGAGAGGCTGGAGGCAAAGCTCAGGGCAGGGACCATGCGCCAGGCGGGCGGGCGGGGAGGCCCGGGGAGGACGTCTCCGCTCCTGGGGGAGGGCGCGGCCCCGCCCCTGCCCCTGGGCCGTGGTTGCAGAGTGTGATGCATGGGAAAGCACCGAGGGGAGAAGCCGTGGGGGTGACGGTGGCAGATGAGACCCAGCTGGGACATGCTCAGAGCAGTGACCCCGAGGACGCAGCTACGAAGGAGGGTGTTCGCTTCATGACCGCAGCCCATGGCGCTCACAGCCCGCCCCAAACGGGAAAGGTTTGCTTCCAGGACAGGTAAAGGCCAAAAGCACCAGGTCGAGAAATGTAGGCTGGATGCGTGGGTGGATGGATGCACCAGGTCAGGCGGGAATCGCCGCGGCCTCCCAAGCTTCGATGCCGAGGTAAACGCGGGCAGGGAGCTCTGACGCAGGCAAACAGTGCTATAGTAGAGGGCCCAGGCTAGGGCAGCGCTTCCCCCAGAGAGGACGGGGTTCTGGGGAGCAGGGGTGCACCCTCCCTGGGTGACATGCCCTCCCCACACAGCTGTGACTGACCTTGGAGCCCGGCTAGCTTCGGGGTGGGGCTGAGGGGAGGCCCAAGACGAGCATGGGGTCTGCTCTGCTCCTCGGCTCGTGGAATGTCAGGGCCCCAGCTGAAGAGACCCCCATCGGCCCTGATCCCAAATGTCCCACTCGCTGATTAAACCCCAAAGACCACCGCTGAGGCGGTACGTGCAGGCCAGGGCTCGGGGCCATCTGGTGACACCTGTCAGGACACTGGGAACCCAACCCCCCTAAGCAGTGGGAGGATGGAGAACCGAGTCTGGCTTCCTTGAGGAAGAACAGGGGTGGGCGAATGAGCCCCCGAGGCCCCCGACTGACTGGGCAAGGTGCTGGGCACAGTGTCTACGCCTTGGGCTCAAGGAGATGCTCCTGTCCCACAAGGGCTGTGGAGTTTATAAATCATGGGTGCACAGCACGCCCAGGAGCTGCAGCCTCAAATGTCCCCTCTCTCTGCCACAAGGAAGCTGTCCTTGTCCTCATCACCCACGCCCTAGGGACAAGCAAATCCAAACAGGCCTGAGAGGCCGTCTCGGCCCACCCCACGCCACTGTTTGAATTTCCTTAAAACCACCCTCCCTGCTACCCAGCCACTGCCTGGCTCCTTGAATGGCCCCAGTGACAGAAGGACTCACTCACTACGTCTCAGGGACACCTTTGACCAGCCTCTTCAGAAAGCCATGACCCGTGGACTTGGACAAACAGTTCACAGAAGATAAGGTACAATGTGTTAACAAACATAGGTGGGAGTGTTCCACCTTCATTAGTAATCAAAGCAGGGCGAGCTAAAATGGTGCAAAAGCGCTTTTTAACAGAGATAAACTACCGATACCTTAATTAAATGCTAATACATTGCCGAACATCGTAACGTGCTGTAAGCCTTCTGAAACTAATTAATATCCATACAGAAATCCCTGCCTTTCATCCAAGAAGCGCAACCATAGGAAATTCATTCGTTCACTCGCCCATCCATGTACCCAGCCTTCCGCCCTCTCATCCATCAGCCAAGCGCTCACCCACCTACCCACTCACATCCTCCTCCCTTCCTTCCTCTCACCCAGCAGACACTTATGTACAGCCTGCAACGTGTCGGGAACCGAGATACAAAGAGCAGTTCAGCGAGCTTGCTGCCCTTACGGGCTCACAGTCTAGCAGGGGAAACCGACACGCAGCGAAGCGATGATAATCTCAGGGTGTAAGAGAGTAATTCATGAGAATGAAGGAGAGTGGATTTGCTGAGCCGTTAGTTGTGGTATAATGTATAATATCAGGAAAAGATGATTTATGCATAACAACAGCAGGATGGTTTAGCAAACGCTGCCAGGCTCACTCAGTGGGACACAGCGCGGCCGGGGAGGTTATGGAGATAAAGGAACAAAGAAAAATGTTGGTGGCAGACTAGTAAATGGAAAGGGTGGGATGCAAAGAAAGTGTATGTGGTGGAAAATGGCAATTAGGCTTAAAAAAGGGGGGTGCTAATTAAAAAATAGATGCCAGCATTAAAAAAAAAAAAAAAAAGATGCCCATGGACGAGAACTTGGAAGGGAGGGGGAAAAGATGACTGGCATGTCATCGAGTGGAGGCGTGGACACATTTCCCCTGCTCTAGGCCACGTGCTGCCCACATCGCTCACGTCAGGAACACGAGGGACCCACTGACATCAGGAACACAGCCGTGGCCTTCACCCTCTGTCCTCAGGAAGGGTGGCCCTGAGGCCAAGCTTCACAAGGAGGGAGTGGGGAGTCGCAGGGGGAGGCCAGGAGAGTTGTAGCTTCTGGGGTCACCGGGGGAAGGATTTGGATGTGGGGGCCCACGGACGTCAAAAGTCAAGAGGCAAGATTTGTTCTCGTTTTAAAAAGTTGAAAGCAAGAAATGCACATGTAAAGATGGGCCCTGATGAGACAGGAGCAGCTGGAACCCCACCTGACCTAGGGGGCGAGGTGCAGACCCAGCCAGGTGGGGGCACGTGCAGAGAATCGCAGAGTCCCAGGACTGGAGCCCCTCAGACTCCAGATGCAGAACTCCTGAGAGCCCAAGGTTCTAAGAGCCCTGATCTGTCCCTCACAGCCTCGGCATTTCCACCCAAACCCACCTGCCCTCCACGGTGTCACGGGGTCTCCCGGGAGCTTCTCCTCTTGCCCAGTTCAACCCAGCGTGACCCCTCAGGACAGCCCCTCGGATGTTGGGAGAAGCCGTCCTGGAGACTTGCTTCCATCCCAACCAACACTGCCTAGTTCTTGTGCCCCAACCAACATCGCCTAGTTCCTTCCTAGCTCCTCCCAGTGCATGCTTGTGGCCCCTCCTTCTCGCTGTCTACACCCCACACTTGCAGTCTTCCTGAGCCTCAGCTGACTCTTTACACAGCTGTAGGTGGGTTCCTCCAAAAGACCCTCCCGGCCCCATTCTTCCCTGAGCCCCTCCCAGCCAACCGCACCCAACAGGACCCTGGGCTGGTGTTAGCAGGCGTCCCCAGGGTAACAGGTGCACCCCCAGACCTCAGGCCAGGCAAGGCAGAGCTGAGATCCCTAGACTGTAACAGAGGAGAGGAGACCTCTGCGCCCCCAGCGCCACATCAGGCCCACGTGGCCGTGCTCACGTGGCCCAGACATGTGGTGCTAGAGGCCCGGAAGGTGGCTCCTGACACAAACTCTGCATCGTCCTCCATCTTCTAAAGGCCGTTGCTGGGCTCCGGTGTCTGCACTAGAAGCATGGGAGTCACCCTCGTCTTCCTCCCCCTGCCCCCTGGCATGCTGTCTGCAAACCCTGGCGCTCTGATGCCCGCGCCCCGCCCCGGCTGCGGCGTCCTCAGCTCTGACCTCCAGCCTCTGGCCCCCACCCATGGCAGCCCACCCACCCTGTGTCCACAGGCCCTGCTCCCCCCCCCCGCCCCCCACCCCCTGGTCTGCACGTGCTCCCTGCCCAGCATCCTGGGTCCAGCCAGGCTGTGCTCCTCCTGCTCCGGGCTCTTGTTAAGAATTTGGCTTGTTTTCAAACGTCCCAAATGGGAATCGAGAAACCAAGGGGGACTTTGGCCCTTGTTTTCACAGACAAACATGGGCACACGACACGTAACCGCACGAGTTTTGTCCACTACAGACAGAGAGGCCTCTCCAGGACTGGGGAGTCCCTGGGGAGGAATGTGGGCGCTGACAACTCTCCGGGTCTCCCCACGCCTCCCCGAGGGCCAGTCTCGGGGAGGAGACAAGTCCACACACGGCGCCGCCGCCGCAGCGATACAGAGCACACCGCACGACAGTCGGGAAGACAGAGGCCTTGAACAGGGCTCTGGGGATGGCGCGCCAAGGGGACCAGGGTCCAGGGCCGCTTCTGCAGCCCGGGCTGAGCTGCACCCGCTCCAGGACCCCGCCTGGAGAGGCAGGCACCTGCCATGGGAGGCCAGGTGGGGCTGCCCGGGCGGACTGCAGAGAGTGACAAGGACAAGGTCTCTGGTGGCTTGCCCGGGGCTCCCGGGTCGCTGGGCTCCTGGGTTACCCTTGTCAGGAGCTCCTGGCCCTCTTCTCCCTTTCCCCTGCACCAGGCCCTGGCAGGGACAGGCACCTGCCATACCCAGGGCCTCCTGCTCCCTGACCCGCTGCTGCCCCCTGGCGGGCGAGGCCTCCCACACACAGAGCCTGCAGGTGACCCACGTCCACTGGGGCCAAGTGACCCCCGGGCTCAGCACCACTTGTCCATGTAACCCTCTGCAGGGCCCCAGGCCTGAGCCCTTCCCGCCTATCCGGGGCTGTAGACAGGGCACTGCCAACAGGGGTGAGCATGTACCCCCAAGATCTACCCAACTAGGGAGCTGACGCCATTCCAAGTTTACAGATGGGGAAACTGAGGATGAGGGAGGTGAAGTGAAATGGCCCACACAGCCAAGATGTGGCGATGGCACTCCAAGGCCAGGCTCTTCCTGAGCTTGCTCCTCCCTGCCAGGGAAAGTAGAACAAGCACAGGACATGCCAGCAGCCATCTTTCTCTGGGAACCACCTCACCCCGCTGGCTAGAACACAAAACGAGCAGGCACAGACACCTGGAGAGAAGGTTCCTTCCTCCTTCTCTTCCTACCTTCCTGCCATCCTCTCTTCCATGCATTCACTCATTCTGAGGGACGCCTCTGCTCAGGCTTGAGTAGCTTAGCTCTAAAGTAATCCTAGCCCTCGGGTCACATCAGGCCCCGTTCACAGCCCTGTTTATTTACTCTTGTGTTACTTGTATTCCTTATTCCTTTCTTTCTTATTTCTTCCCCAATTTCATCTTTCTCTTTTTTTCTCACTCTCCCTTATTCTCTCTTTCTTATAAACTCAAGCACCAGGACCGGATAGGAGCCGTGTGCAGCACCCCCTCCCAGGAAGCACCACTTATCATGCGCCATCCATTCATTCATTCATTCTCTCACTGGCTCACTCATTGCTCCTTCCTTTCTTGCTTATTTGGAGTATTTTTTTTTTTGTATTAGTCTCCTGTGAACATAATTGTATTAGCCAAAACCCCACGTGCAAAACAAATATCATTGGCACATGTATTTATTTGCATCTGCAATCTTTCTTCCCTGCATTTAGTCACCTTTTACATTAAAGTATTTATTCTTTTATTTATGAACCTCAATTGCCTATATTTTATTACAGTGGTAGAAGATGCAGCCTTGTTTTGGGGCTGGGTACGTTCTTCTATTTTTCATTTATTCTTTGAAAGGTGTAATGTATTTATCTATTTAAGGAGTATGTATGCGAACTAATTATAATCCTTGTTCAGACAGCCTCTCTTAACTACCCATTTATCACTTTGGTTGTTTGTTTATTATCTTTCCTTTTTCCTTTTCCACTTCTTTTTTCATGTTCTCTGTTTCCCCTCCCCCTAGGAACCTGGGTCTGGATTATCTCATCAATCTTCAGGATTAATGACAACCTCATTACTAATCCTAACAGATCCTGCTCTTGCAGACACGCCCATGCGTTGCTTCCTTTTTTTGTTGTTCCCCCACACCCTTTCTCCTTCATTTAGTTTAATTTTGCCTTTCTTATCTGCTCCTTTGACTCTCTGACACTTCCTTTCCTGCATCTTTTCATTCTTAGGGACCTCAGGTGCCTGGAGTGAGATGAGTGACAGTCCCCAGGGCGAGGCTGCTCCAGCCCTTTCCATCTCTAATTCAGTAGTTCGCGTGTCCATTCATTCTTTCTGTCACTCTTTTATTTCAATATTTATTCTTTTATGTATGGACCTCAGGTGCACAGAATTGGATTAACCGTAATCTGTGGTTCCCGGAGCCTTCTCGACACCGGCCCATGTGGGGCTCTCCTTTGTTCCTTAATTCCTCGGACTGGTGATTTGGTTCAGGATTTATTTAACTATCTGAGGAGCCCAGTTTTGAATTAGTCATAATTCTTACTGCCTTTTCTCATTTTTTTTCCTTTTGTCTTCGCATGGCCCTCTTTCTCATGTATTTATGTATTTATTTATTCAATCAATGTTTTTATCGCTTATATATATCTTGTCTTTATTTTCTATATTCCCTTTTTCCTTGCTTTCTCTTTTTTGTATTCTTTTATTCTGGTGGACCTCGAGTGCAGAAGTGAGTTCATTAAAATGATCATTTCTCATTCATTCATTCATTCATTCATTCATTCCCCCCTCTACCCTTTCCTTCTTTTAGGTGTTTGTACTTTCATTGATGAACTTCCAATTTAACTAGCTATTTATTTAATGAGTAATATTAATTCATTACATTTAGGTACTAAGCTAGGAAGTGCTTTTTCTTTTCCATGTCTATTTTATTTTCTTTTCCTACATCTTTCCTTCTCTCATTCTCTCAATTTTTCCAGCTACTTTTCTTCCACTCCTACAGAATGCATGCATTTATTCTTTCAGTCTTTTACTTGTGGTATTTTTTTAATTATTATTTATAAATTTCAGGGCCACAGATTTGAATTCATGTGGATGACTTGTGCTTAACCAGCCCCCTTTTATAGGCCTCAGTGTTAAACCTAATTACTTATTATCTTTCTCACTTCTTTTTTTTCCCAATTTTCATTTTTTCCCATCTTATTGTTTCTCTTTATCACTCACTCACCCTTTCTTTCTTTCATTCTTTTGGGGACTAGCACCCAGGATCAACGACCCTAACCCTCTTTGCAACACCCTCCTCATCAGTCAATGCAAATCTTTTTTCTCATTCATTCATTCATGCATTCATGCATCCATTCAGTCTTTCTTTCTATTTAAATACTTATTTCTGCACTTCTAGACGGCAGGTGCACCTAATTGGATACATCATAATCTGTAGTTAATGGGCCCTCCCCTCCTGGGCCCCACTGAAGTCCTCCCTGACCCATTCAAACGTTCCTTGGGTGGGTGGGTGGGTGTTCATCTCACAAGCACAGACGTTAATTAAGTAGCGTGCTTGGTTCACACACCCTTTCATTCTTACTCCTAGCATGGCTCCCTTGCATCTGTATTTATCTATTCATTTCTTAGTGCACTACCTTTCTTCTTTTTTAGCTAGTTTTTAATGTTTCTTTCCATTTTCATTGTTTCTCTCTTTCACTCTCTTAATATTTCTTTCTTGCATTCTTTCAGTCTTTGGAGGCGCTCAGTCTCCAGGGACTGATGAATCATAAAGCCACCTGCAAATCCCCCATCCTTCGCCTATGCAGCCCCGTGTCTCATTTATTCATTCATTCCTTCCTTCCTTCCTTCATTCATTCATTCATGCCATCCTTCCTTCGTGCTTTTTCTCTTTTTATTAGGTATTTATTCGTCTACTAGTGGAATCAGGTGCTCAGATTTTGACTCCCTCCTTATACAATGAATCCTAGCCTAACTCTCTCTCATGGACAGATCCATTTGTCCAGATAGTTGTCACTTCTGAGCTCAGAGGGGACTCGTCACACCCCCAATACCCTCACCAGAAGTGCCTGGGGGCCACAGCTCCTCGCTTTACCTCACTCCTTTGTTCCTTTAGGTATTCACTGACTTGTTCATTTAGACACTTATTGTTTTATTGGTAAAACTGTGGTCTCTTAGAAGTGGATTAACCATAACCCTTGATCTATGACGATCTTTTATCATTGCCTTTAGCATTTACCTTCTTTCATATACTTACCGAACATTAATATATTTCTGTACTTAACATTTGTTAACGTTTTTCCTTATTTCTTGATTTTTACTGATATTTTATTTTATTCTCTCTTTCTACTATCCTTTCCCCTAACAGACCTCACTTCCCAGGACTAGATGACTCCAAACCCCTCAAGCCACCCTGTCCCCTGGCACTGGGCTCCACATTTCCACTGTTCACTCATTCATTCATCCGTTCATCCGGAGGTTTTTTGCCTTCTTTTATTTTGGCATTTATCCTTTATTTATGTGGAGCCTTCAGGTGATAACTTTTGGTCAAAGTACACGCTCATCTTTGGCCCACTGGGTCCTCTTTCTTTCTTTGCTGTTCTCTGAACTCTTTCTCCATTGTGTATTTATTTTTCTATGCCAAAAGCATATGTTATTTGTATTGATCCTCATACTTGTCCTGTAACCACCTGACACAGTCCTCCTTAGTTACTCATCCTCTAATTTTTAAATTATCCTTCTTCCTTTAATTTTTCGTTTTGCTTTCTTACCTTTCCTTTCTCCCTTTTGATCATTCAGACCTCAAAATCTATGCATCATTATGCATTTTTCCCCTTCTCACTCATTCATTCTTTCTTTTATTTGTGTTCTATTTTTTTTTTTTTTATTGACAAAGGTCAGGGGCATCTATTTGAATTACACAGATTCCCTGGTCCGTGGTGACCCGATATTGGTTTGTGTGTGGTCCTATGTACTTATTGATTCAATAGCTTATGGATATGGATTTATATATTGATCACCTGGGCGTCAAAGCGAGTGGACCATAGTCTCGTTCAGTGTACACTCCCACCCTGGCTTGCCTATTTCTTGACCTATTTATGTGTTTATTCACTCCTTCCTCCTTTATTCATTCACTCATGCAATCATTCACTACATAATGTGATAGATACCAGTGAAATGGCCTCCCAATAACAAAAAAACAGAACGTTCACAGTATCTTAGACCTTCCTGCTTCCTCCCACTGAGGTAACCACCAAGGTATAGACAACCCACAGTCCAGAGACACATACAAATGGCAGATGCGGAACAGGGACACAGGAAGTGTTAGTTTACTCTCAGATCCTCCCAGCTCACAGCCCAGACACGCTGCGGGCAGGTCTGAGACTAGGGCCCCCACTCCCCAAGCCCCCTTGGCAGGGCAGATGCTTCGAGCTCTGCCCCTCTGCACCCTGGTGAATGGCCATCCCCATGAGAAACCTGTTTCAAGACCCCAGAATACATAGAAACACACACATGGTACATAGTCTCCCGGTGGGAAACGACGGACATGGAGTTCATTTGTAAATAGGTGGCTTTGTCTATTGCAGTATAAAAATATTTTGGCCTTTCAAGGCAAACACAAAAGAAACAACCCATTACCATCCCTGAGTGTCTCGGTCCCAAACAATAAAGAACTTGAAGAGGTTTAGCCGGAAACTTTGAAGACAGAAAATCTGCCCATTATGTTTTCCAGACATTTCGAGGGGGTGAGTGAAGGTCATTGGAGCTCCAAGCCCATTTGAGGGGCCAGTCCCTCGGCCCGCGCTCTCCAAGTCCCAGGGCACTGGCATCCCCGTCTGCCCTGCGGCACAAGAGCCAAAGGGAGACTCAATAATGAAAGGGCCATTCATTTGGAGGAGTGAAAAAGAAGAAATTCTTTTGGGGTCCAACACTTGAAGCCTCCTATAGAATTCTTCTGCCACACAGACAACCACACAAGGAGGCTGGGGGCTCCTGTCTTAGAAAACGAGCCTCCAGGTCTGCCCTCGGCGTGGCTCACGGGCACCCACCTCCCCCTGCGTAGACCATGGCCGCTGCCTGCCAGTCCCTGCCACGAGGTTCGCCTGGCGGTGTTCTGGGCAGCAGCTCCCCCACTCTTTACACCCCGGCCACTTACGGTTTAGGCCCGGAGGGTGCTGGGGTCCCATGGCTGAGGTCCCTTCCCACGTAGGATTCCAGGTGATGGCTTCGGCTGGAAGGAGAAAGTACCAGGTCACCCAATGGAACCTCAGCCAGCTCAGGGAGGAGGAGGAAGAGGAGGGTGGATGAGAGCAAAGCTCCCCAGGAGCAGGAGTGGCCTGAAGCTGGGCCACAACCTCCAGCAAGTGTGGAGTTGGAGAAACCAAGCACCTCTCAACCCACCCACCACCAGCTGCCTGTGAGCGCATGGGCAGGGGTGGCAACGTGGAACGCGGCTCCTAACCCACAGCCCTCGGCTCAGGGCTGCCTGTGGGACCAGGTGCTGCTTTGTGGAACCGGAAGTTTAGGGCCACTGCACAGATGAGAACTGAGCTGACATGTACAGGGTGGTGGCCACGCCCCGGAACGTTCGCCACCTCAAATGCAGTGCACCAGCCCGGAGAGGTGGGCTGGGGCCGGCGGGGCTGCCAGCCATTCGGGAGACGGGGAAGTGGGGTGCTGCCAGGGCAGGCTACGGGCAACGCAGAGGCCCGTGGGGTGCTAATGTGTAGCGTTTCCTAAAACCATGGCACACACATCGTGGGATGCAAGACGGTCTCGCGGTGGCCGGACATCCACGCCTTAGCCATCAGGAACACATTTTAATAAGGACCAGGCTAACCCACCTCCAGGCACACCGCGTCTTTGGTGTCAAGCGTTTGCCTTAAATTTCAAGTTAAAGGCCGGGCGCGGTGGCTCACACCTGTAATCCTAGCACTCTGGGAGGCCGAGGCGGATGGATTGCTCAAGGTCAGGAGTTCAAAACCACCCTGAGCAAGAGCGAGACCCCGTCTCTACTATAAATAGAAAGAAATTAATTGGCCAACTAATATGTATAGAAAAAATTAGCCAGGCATGGTGGCGCACGCCTGTAGTCCCAGCTGCTCAGGAGGCTGAGGCAGGAGGATCGCTTGAGCCCAGGAGTTTGAGGTTGCTGTGAGCTAGGCTGACAGCACGGCACTCACTCTAGCCTGGGCAACAAAGCGAGACTGTCTCAAAAAAAAAAAAAAATTTCAAGTGAAATAAAGACTGAGCTCAGCAACAGTGGACACGTGTCATTATACATCTGTCAGGACCCACAGGACTTACGTCACAGGAGGATGGCCCCAATGACGTTAACTATGGACTCTAGCTCACAATGACGTCCCAGTATCAGCCTGAAGACTCTCACAAATGTGCCACTCGGAGTGAGACGTTGATGAGAGAGCAATTGGGGCTGTAGGAATTCTCTGTACTCCTCCCCCCCTCAATTTTTCTGTAAACTGAAAACACCTCAGAAAAATATTCACTTAAAAAATGGGGTTTTTTTGTGTTTTGTTTGTTTGTTTTTGAGACAGAGTCTCGCTTTGTTGCCCAGGCTAGAGTGAGTGCCATGGTGTCAGCCTAGCTCACAGCAACCTCAAACTCCTGGGCTCAAGCGATCCTCCTGCCTCAGCCTCCTGAGTAGCTGGGGCTACAGACATGCGGCACCATGCCCGGCTAATTTTTTCTGTATTTTTTTTTATTTGGCCAATTAATTTCTATTGTTTTAGTAGAGACGGGGTCTCGCTCTTGCTCAGGCTGGTCTCGAACCCCTGACCTTGAGCAATCCGCTCACCTCGGCCTCCCACAGTGCTAGGATTACAGGCGTGAGCCACCAAGCCTGGCCAAAAAAAAAAATAATAATGGTTTTAATGAGTTGATTTTTAAAATGTGCTAAGAGAGGGCAGGAAAGGCAAGAGGGGCAGAAGAAGGGAGGCCTGCCGTGCCGGGCCCCACCAGCACCACAAGCCGGCGAGGAGTGGCCCAGAGTCCATCTGAGACCCCCTCTCTGGGGACTATTTCCTGGTGGGGCACAGGTGGAGGCAGGAGGCCCGGGGGGACCTGTGGGACGCCCCCCCAAAGCCCCACGGGAGACAGAGGCAATGAGAGGAATGTGGGTTGTGGTAGGTCAGAGGCTGCCTGTCCAGCCTGCCTGCTGTCCAGCCCTCCAGGGACCCCAAGGAAGGAAGAGGCTCGCTCCCACTCCCCCAGCCATCTTGGACACCCCCACACTGCCTCTGCCTCTCCAGCCTCTAGCTGGGGCCCCCAAGACCCGGCGTGGGCACAGGGCACCCCTCTTGCTTTCAAATCTGCCTAAAAACTCCTTCCCTGGACTTGTGCTTCCCAAACACTGTTTTGCCGTAATTGGTTGATTTGATAACCAAGAAATAAGAAGTCTTGAAATTAAGTGTAAATGACACAGTGATGAGCTGGAGGGTGACCGGGGGGGCGGGCTTTAGTTACCCAAAGGCCCCAGGACCACCCACTGCATGCTGACCACCACTCGAGACCCTCCCCTGCCCCCCATCCCCACCCCCGGAGCCTGAGCCTGGCTGTGGCGGCCCCTCCTCATCGCTGTGGTCCTGGGTGACAAGGTGGCTGCAGACCAGGAACACACAGCAAGACCAAAGGCACTGCCGTTTCCCCCAGGAATAAGCCCGGGTGCTTTTGGTTTGTTGTTTTTGTTTTGTTCTTTTTTGTGTTTTTAATAGAAGCGGGGAAATCAGAAGCAACACAGGGCGTCTGGGTTTTTTCCTGCTTCTGCTCCAGGGACCCCACAAACCCTCAGAGTCCCTGACTGTCCTTAATTAACTCTGCGTGCAGACCCCAGGCTGCTGTGCTAAGACCCAGCCCTGGCAAAATCGTGCTTTGGTTTAAAAGCTGCGTGTACCAGCCCTGGCTTGGCCGTGATGTATTAATAACGCAGCACTGGGCTGGAATCTTAACAAATGTCAGAAAAGCTGCAGAGATGAGTCACTGTCTGGAACCAAAGGAAAACACGAGGCCTCCTTATAGAGTCCAGGGGAACAATTGCCACAAGCATTTGATCAAAGACCTCATAAGTGGGTGCACTGAGCTCATGACCCACGTAGAAAGCGTCGGTGAACACACCGAAAACATCCTCCACGGCTTAATAGGATTAGAAAATTCTAGCTCTGCATCCTGAGATTTAAAAACTTACTCTTTTCTGGAGGCAAACAGGGCCTAATTGAGCTGGCATGTCTTTGGTACAAATGACTTGTGGAGGTTTTGAACAGAGGAAGACATAAAAGGATAATTTCTCTTAAAAATCTAGATTTCAAGAAATAGAGCTGGTAGCCACACAAATAATCAGGCTCGCCTCAGATCTCATACTTCCTACCTGTTGAGTGACTACCACCCTCTTACAACTTCCCCGACAAATGCGAGCTCTTTGCAGAGCTAATTTCCTGTCCCTTTGTGAGGCCAGGCCCTGGACATTACGGGCCCATTTATGAAAATGGGAGAGGTAATTGGGACATCTTTTGAAATCCTGTCCCCTCTTGCGCAGGCCCCCATCGGCCGTCTAATTCTCCTTGGTCAGGTTACAGAGGATGTTTACATATGCCTCTCCCTGGAGTTGCACCTCTTTCCCGGCAGGAGTGGGCAATTAGAGAGAATTAAGGCCTATTTGGCGCATGCTCACCGTTAATGGGGAGAGTGGCCCAGGCAGCCTTGGGAAAGGCCGTCTGCCGGCATAATTGAAGCTGGCAATCTCCGGGTTCCTCATTTCAGCTCGCAGGTATTGTAGCAACCAAGGTCACAAAACAAAAGCGCCAGCCCACCATGGCAATAACCGGGCGCAGGCCCGATGCGGGGCTTTGTGAGCTATTTGTGACAGCGCCCCAAAGCACAAAGAGATGGCACAAAATGTTTTCAAAGCCGGGTCCGAGACGGGCAGCCAGCACAGGCGGCGGCTGATCGCTTTTCCAGAAGTTGCCATCCTGGCAGCTCTTTCAGGAAGTTCTCAGCTGAGTGCGCCAGGGTACCAGTGGAGGGTCTCGTGACCAAAAGGCACATGGTGAGCCGGGGGGGCCGGGACACCACCTCCTGGACCACAGCCACCCGTCCCTCTCATTACACGCGAGTAGCTCTACAGCCCAAAAGGTTCTCCAGACCTGGCGTGCGGCCACCTGCTTGGAATAGCGCCCTGTCAAACACAGCCCCTGCGTCCTGGCGCGTGGGGCAGCCCTCACGGCGTCCTTCGAGCCAGAGCTCTGACCCACGCTGACGACCAGTGACCCTGACCCCACTGACCGCGGCCCCACTGGGCGTGCCAGGCGAGCAACAGTGTGCTTCACTCTGGGGCAGGGGTCCTCAAACTACACCCCGCAGGCCACATGCGGCCCGCCGAGGACATTTATCGGGCCTGCCGGGTGTTTCTGCCACCACTGCCTGTCCTGCTTAGCAGCTGCCTCGTCCCGGGCCCACAGTGCGCATGTGTGGAATGTGCGCCGCGCTCTCCAACGGCCCTCCAACAGTCTGAGGGACAGTGAACTGGCCCCCTGGTTAAAAAGTTTGAGGACACCTGCTCGGGGGCCTGCACCCACTCCCCATGCGTCCTGGGTGGGGTTCCGGGCCTCTGCCCTCTCTGGTTTCCTCATCTCTAAAGCAGAGGGGGGCCAGGCACGGTGGCTCATGCCTGTAATCCTAGCACTCTGGGAGGCCAAGGCGGGTGGATTGCTCAAGGTCAGGAGTTCGAGACCAGCCTGAGCAAGAGCGAGACCCCCCATCTCTACTATAAATAGAAATAAATTAATTGGCTAACTAAAAATATATATATATATATATATATATATATAATTAGCCGGGCACGCGGTGGCTCATGCCCTGTAATCCTTAGCACTCTGGAGGCCAAGGCAGGCGGCATGGACTCAAGGTCAGGAGTTCGAGACCAAGCCTGACAAGGCGAGACTCGTCTCCTACTATAATACAGAATAAATTAATTGGCTAACTAAAATATATACTATATATAATATATAAATTAGCCGGGCACGGTGGCTCACGCCTGTAACTAGCAATCGGGAAGGCCAAAGCGGGTGGGACTTGCTCAAGGTCAGGAAGTTCGAGACCAGCCCGGAGCAAGAGCCGAGACCCCCGTCTTCTACTGATAAATAGAAATAACATTAATTGGCTAACTAAAATATATATATATATATAAAAATTAGCCGGCACCGGGTGGCTCACCACCTT